CCTCCCTTGCGCCGTGGTCGGGGCTGTGGGGACGCTCTCTGGGGGTGAGGAGAGAGCGGGCCAGGGCGAGCCGTGCTTCGGTTTCCTCGTTGGGCCAGGTTCCTTAGGGCGGGTGATAGTGGTTACGGGTGGCTGTCATGGCTACGTGAGCCGAAACTGGCTGCAGGGGCCCAACGAGGCTTCCCTGCTTCCCTGGTGTTGATTTCTACTTAGTGGGAGATTGCTGTGGTTTTGGCTCTGGAGGCCGAGACAATAATAATTTAAAAAGCTGTGAACGTTTGTTAGACTGTCCAGCTAGCACGGAATTGGCAAGTTACAGTGTGCTAGTAGTACCAAAACTGCTGTGTCCTCATACTTGTTAGTGGATGTGTGCATGTCTTTAATCAGGGAGTTGAACCAGCATGTCATGGGTTTGCTCCAGGACTGGGTTTAGCAGTGCTTGAAGTTTGTGCAGTTTGGTTCCAGATCAACAGAACTTTGGAATCCTGGTTGTACTTCCGTTCGAAGCAGGAAAAAGTAATATTTTTAGCTTTGGATTTTAGTTCAGGATACCAATTTGTGTTCGCTTTCCTATTGTGAAGATAGAGGTTGGGTCTAGCTCTTCTTGGTCTCCGATTTCCTTACTCACTTCTTTTTTTTTCCCCCTGATGTTTTTCAATTTCCTGCAATAATTTTAATGCTATTTTAAATTAAAACATTATGGAAGTTGTCCCACCTCTTTCTGAATGGTGTGCCTCATTGTATATAGCTTTTTCCTGGAAGGAAACAGTTCATTAGTAGGAAGTAATTATTTAAGTTTTCATTGGTATTCTTGTGCTTAGAATTAAGCATTGTACTGGTTGTTTTCATTAAAAGTTACTAATTCTTCTCAAGATAAAGTCCTAGCAAAGAGAAAGCAAGTTTTAACATTATAGGTCCTGTCAAAGGAAAAACCACAGCTAAAGTCTAGATTTGACTTTTGACTTACTGCGTTATCTTGCATTTGAAATTGCCCATCTTAAATTCTAAAGGTAAAACTTTAGTGAAACTGTGCTGGCATCTCGTCCTACTGAGAATGAGGTTAGCACAATAGGTGCAGCAAAGGCAAAGTAGGTCGTGTCATCTAAGCTTAGCTTTGAGTCTATTTTGATAGACTTCTAGGAAATACGGTCCATACAATGTCGGTTACAAAGCACCTTCTGTAGTAGTTCTTATGTGGTGCACGAATAGCACTGTGTTTTAGTGGAGATTCTTGTTTGAAAAGAGAATATGTATAAGTAAGAAATGAAAAGAATAGGAAGTACAAAGATTTTCTAGTATAAACTTTTTCTTGTTTTCTCCCGGTATCTCAGAATTGAATGCTTGTTGCTTTTGCTTCGTTAATGGCAGTCTGCTATGTAGGAGTAAGTTTCCCCACTGTTAAAGTAGCGTTTTTTAAAGTAGGCAACTTTTAAAGTGTTAATGTATCTTTTGCTTTCTGAGTACCTGTGCTAGTGCCTCTTAAATTATTTTACTTATTTTTGTCTATATATGTAAGTGGCACCTTTATAATATGTTATATTTTGAATACTTAGTTTGTGTAGCTTGCCTGTGTAATATGTAAATAATTTGCACAACTTTGCACACTCGTTTGAGCTTGTTGACAAAGCTGGAAAAGTATATCTGCCTTAAGGTACATAATTGAAGGTACTCTTTCCTAAATAATCTATACAGAATCTTGGGGTACTGTATGTGCACATGTCAGTCTTTTAAAGATGCATGTGACTAAGTTTTGAATGAGCAGCTCTGTTGTTCTGATGCTATGTCGTACTCATCCTTTTAGTGTTCTCGCTATCCTTATATTTAAAAAAATGTTAATAGGTGAACGGAACATGACTGAAGAATAAGACTTGCATTAAAGAGTTGGCTGTATTTTGGGATGGTAGTAATCTTTTTGAGACTATCTGTTCTTTTTTTTTTCCATAAGAGTTCTAAATGTAAACATTGTCTTAAAAACTCACAGTGCTAAAGCCAATAATTAGAACCTTATAATAGTTTTTTTTTTTTAATAAAAATGGTGTTAGGTGATCCACAGGCAGTTCGTAAATAGATGGTTCTTCACTATGATTGTTATTCGTTGTGCAGGTAGGAAAGTCTTATGCCCTCATTACGTCTTTGAAGTCAGAGTGGAAGGCTAGTATTCCTCCATGAAGCTGCTGCTAGTCTTGCATGGGTGAAATATTCCGTATGTTAAATCAGCTGTGAACTTGGTTAAAGAGCCTTTGCAAAACTACACTAAATACAACTAAAACAACTGCCAACTTTGTTTTCCTCCTAAATCTTCTAGCTTCTCTCATGTGTTCAACTTAGTGGTGGCCCTGATTGCTGGATTACTGCAGCTTTGACATGTCCCAAAGCTGAAACTAGAGAGGAGTATGGATTCCAGAAACTGTTCATTTCATGGCATTTTCTTTTTTTTTTTTTTTTTGGAAATGAGACTTTTTCTAGATGACACTTGTGAAGGCACATTAGTTCCCCTTCTTTTGCTAAATCTTAGCAATTAAACCACACAGCTGCCTCGAAGCGTAAAACTTTGTGTGCCTGCTGCTGCTTTGACTTTGCAGCTATGTATGCCCATTCCACGCATGCAAATTCCATCTGCTCTATATGAAAGTGAACCAAAGCTCGTCAAAGAGGAATTGGGTTCCCTGTGACTGTGCTGCACAAATGGTCAGCAAACGTAGACCTCTGTATAAACCTTAAACAGCAATTTGGCAGTCCAGTCCAAGCAGAAATTGGACTGGCCGTTTCCAGGATGACAAAAAAATATTAAACTTAGAAGAGCTAGCAATATTTTTTGTCAAAAAAACGCTCAAGATTTAAGAATTGTTTACAAGATTAACAAAGTGGTTGACAGAGAATCAAAAACCCCTTTTATCTGTTTGGGACTTGTAGGAAAGTGGAACTACTAGTTTTGAAGTGGCGTTTTAAGTCTAAATTGACAAGATTACCTTCTGTCTGTTAGTTTGAAAGTTTTCCTCATTCTTTTGCAATCAAATTCCTTCTCTCTACTGCAAAGAAAAGCAGCCTCTGCTTCTTCCTTTGTCTCTTAAATGCATTGAATGGATGATGTCCAGACAGAGCCAAGTTACGCTCCTTACTTGTCACAAAAATGTTTTTATGTAGACAAAGCTAGGCAGGCCAGGGGAAAAAAAATGGCGTTGCCAGTATGGTGAGTTCTGCTTTGGTAAAAAGCTACACTAGTAACAATACTCTTATTCAGGGCTATAACTAGAGTAGTTTCTATTGGAAGTATTTTGGTAGTGTAGCTACCAAAAGCTCAACAAAAGAACCACCCCACCCCCTCCCTCAGTGATATTCTACCAGTATCACATTTTGTATCATCAGCTGGAAGTGGTAGAATACTCTTAGCTTGATTACTTAAGTGATGTGAATTGTGACTGCCAGAAAAGGTGGTAGAGAGAACAGTCTTAAAGATCTGCTGCATTCTTTTTCCTTACACAAAACATGACTTTATTCTTCAGGAAACTGAAAGCATTACTCCTAAGAAAGGGAAACATTTGATGCAGTTAGTGAAGTAACTTGTTCTGGTCTGTCTCCCACATTAAGGATTTGACTTTTGTTTTTCTTTTTGTTTGATGTCTTTGTATCATACAAGAATCTGTGTGTAGTTTTTAAAAAGAAGTCACTATAAAGTGAGAGCAGACCCTAGCAGTTCATTGCTGTTTCACTTTTTTCCTTATTTCATACAAAATAAGATATTAAAACGTACTATCCAAGGATAAAGGAAAGAGGATTTCAGATGTTTATGAACTGTTGATCTTACAGCATTTTAAATAGTGCCATGTTGAGTGCTTATTAAATGGAACTGTTTTCCTGTTCTTTTTCACAGCTTAACTGGACTCAGATCAGAGGGACTTTATGCAGTTTTAGTGTTAAATGACCTGTTGTTTTCTGCCAGGTTTTCCTGGGGGTATACTGAATTAACCAAAGTTGGAAGCAAGAATAGATAGGGAAAGGTAATACTGGGAGAATACAGGTTTTCAAGAAACAGATGCAGGAACTGGAACTGTGAGCTTGCATGGCAGACTAGAACATGATTTTACCAAGTGCTGGACTCCTCATGGTATATCCATCTCTG